TGCGGGTGAGGATTTTCCTTTTAAGAAAAGGAAAGAAAGGAAAATGTTGGTCCCGACAATTATCATTAAACAATTACTTGTTCTATCTCCTGAGTCCTGCCTTGTTTGCAATTTTAAATATTTCCAACCATTTTTAATCACAGTTCTAGCTTTTCTTATCCATTTATTAATTACAATTTGCATTTCATCCATTATTCCGCACCTCTCTCTCCCTCTCTCCCCCTCTCTCTTACAAAATACACGCACGCACACCTCTCTCTCTCTCTTACTGTGTTCTGGAACCCACCAAATGAAGTAACAAACCTATTGGCATTGGGAATTGTCAAACTTATTCTGAAAACTTAATTGCCTATTTCTGTTTTGATGTCTAAAATAATGTATTTCTTATCTATCATTGTAATCTTTCTTTACTTGACTAGCTAAGGGTTAAAAAGTTCTTGTCTTTGTGGATTAAATTTTTGCAACACTATTAATGTGTAGTTCTCACCCACATCTGAGCACATACTGCTTGCCTATGGTAGACGTCATTTATCTCTTCTTAAAAGCATTGTTATCGATGGAGAAACAACCCTGCCTATATATACTGTGTTAGAGGTAAATGCTCTCTTCTCAATCTCAAAATAGTTTTCTAATTCATGTTATTCCTCTTTCTGAACTAACATAGTCACTCCAGTAGTTCTGAAAAATCAATTTATATATTTTTGTTTTGATTGATCACAAACCTTTTTGTGTTCAATATGGACCACCCACTAGGAAATGCCAGCCATCGCACTTGATAGTATGACAAGTTCTAGGCTGAATATCTGGTTCCTGAATTTACTTGTCTCAGGTATACAGAGTGTCAGATATGAAACTCGTCATGGTGCTTCCTAGTGCAGAGGATGAGGTCAATGTAGCATGCTTTCATCCTTTTCCTGGTAGAGGGCTTGTTTATGGAACTAAGGTATGCTTTTATATGTTACCTGTTAAATTCACTGCCATCAATTAATCAATAACACATTTCTTCTGGTTGTAGGAAGGAAAGCTGAGGGTCCTCCACTATGACGGGGCTCATGCAGTAAATGGCACTAAAGCAAGTTACTTACCTGAGGATAACATTATTGGAGTCAACTAATCAGCAAGGTTTTATCTACATTACTTGTTTTTATGTTTTCTAATTTTATAGATGCTTGTATACATGGTATTTGATTCATTTGTTTCAATTCCATTTGGGGAGATATAAGGGTGAGGGGTATATAAAATCAAAGGATTTGGTATATGCTGATGATCTGCTTTCGATAATTTGTTATTGCTGATACAAAGCTTTGTTAGTCAGACAAAGCTTTAATCTTTCTTATTTCCTTGTTAAAATGTCTATTTTTCTCTTGTTCTCTTGGACAGAATTAGAGTGTATGAAAGGACGTCAGACTGTATCATTGTGTTGTTCTGCTCTCTACTTAACTTGGATGCTTGGAGAGTCTGAATTGATTCATGGATTTACCTTAGGCTTTTCTAGGTTTCAGGTGCAGAAAAGAGGAGTTATGGAACTCTTCTCAATATAACACTCAGAACAATGATTCTGCTACAATGTAGGTCTAATTGCCGTGTTCCATTATATCCCCACCCCAAAAGACGCATCTTATCCCAAGATGGAAATCAAATGTCGGAACCAAGGGTTTCATTTCATTTCCATTAAACCTGAGACTGGAGCCAACCGCGAAACTGAAACTGCCATCTTTCATCCCAACATACAAGCCTGTCTCAGTAACAGGAAGTCCAGTCCGCTCCCACTTTGTAGTAGCCGTTAGGGGTGAATTTGTAAGTCAAAATCTGCACTTCTTCATGACAATATGCAACCAATGAGATTAGGTGTGAAAGATGCGACAATGGTAAAAGTGCAACCTTGCCTCAAATGCTTTTTGGCCTCTTCCTTTTCACCATTGCAACGGCTGTTTCATAGAACAAAATGCATTTAGAAACCTTCCCCTAACCTCCTCGGCTTACTTTAATTGAGTTGCTAGAGCTTTCAGTTGAGAGCCAATTCTTTGAAAAGAAATGCTTTCACGCCATCCCATAACCTCCTTTTCACGGTATTGCCCCAATTGTTTCATGAAACAAAATGCATTTTGATAGAACTAAAGAGGAATCCTTGATAGCTTAGGATGGTATTTGACGTGACTTTAGTTATAATAAAGATTGCCATAACACAAGTAGTTGCGATTATAGCAATTACTAACATGGTTGTATTTAGTTCTCTTGTCCATCTCAGCAGGTACTCTCATTAACACAGAATACTTGCGTAAATGCTTTATTTGTTTGGTTCTGTTGGTTGCCTTGATCATTTTCTTTTGCAAGTAACGAGTTAAATGGCAGGTTTGGGTTCTAGCAAGTGCTCCCAAATTTTTTTAGCATGATGGGAAACGAATCCATGCCCTCTTCTCTTCATAGCATCTGCTTGTTGCACAAGTATGCTCTTTCTCCCATGCTTCACTCAAAATCTCGACAACCCATAAACATAGCTCTAGTCTGGTTCATTTCGTTGTGTCTACCCTGCTTAACCATCGTTCATCCTCCTCCAACTCTAAGCAAAGAAGTTGATTGTGTGTAGCTTTGACTATCTGCTTTTTGTTTAGGCTGGGTGATGGGTTTGGATTGGCCAAAATTAATGATGAATTGGGCCAATTTTGCTGCTACGATTAAGCCCATATTATATGCCTTTTCAATTCAACATGGGCTTCTACTCCATCGAATTTCCTTAACCCAACCTATGATCCAAATTGTATCCCTCTCATCATCGTTATCGTTGTCACTTGTCATAGCCTCAGCCAAATACACTCCCAAGCTTGTCTTCTTGGCTGCATGCCTTTCATATATTGTTTGTAGATGATAATGGTTTTCTTCATCTGGTTCACCTGGTTTAATCTTGAGGTCTTTGGGTTTTGGTTTTATGTCTTGACTTTTCTGTGGTATGAACGAATGATTTGAAGAAACTTTCTTTGATCGACAGATTTGGAGATACCCGTAAACCTGATTTTCTATGCATACTTTTTCCCCCATTTCTTCTCTCAATGTTTGTTTGAGGATATTATGACTTTCTTTCTTTCTTTCTTTCTTTCTTTTTTTTTTGGGGGCAATCCATAGGACTTTATCTTTGGAGTCTCTTGTGACGAGTCAATTTTTCCCCCGGTGTTTTTTCATTCAGTTTTATCATAGGGAAATATTTTATTCATGAATTTGGATCAGAACAAAGTAACATGTAAATTATTTAACCTTACGATTACTGCATGATTGTAGGTTTAGAAGCATGATTGGAGGCAGAATTAATGCCATGATCGGCTTCACATCACCTGTACTTCTGAGATGGTAGACTGAAGATTCCAACCTAATTTCTTTGGTTTTACATTTAGGGTGGTGTGAAATTTCAACACGAGAATGACACATACCCTGCCTAAATTTTGTTACATGAGTAATGCTCAGTTTCTTTTTTTCCCCTTATGATAAAAAGGTCGTAGTGATTTTAGATGAACCTAATTCACATGCGGCTATCTCTGCAGATTCCCTATGATCTGCCCAAACAAACATACTGGATTGCTGAGTGCATGCAATGCAATGCAGCCCATGAAATGCAGGGACTCCACACTCACTTCCCCAGAAGCTGTACAGTTTGTATTATTCATTTACTAACATTTCTCCCTTCAAACACTTGTTTTCCCTCTTCCTCCAACCCCCCCCCCCCCAAAACAACACGAGAGAGATAGAGAGTGGGTTTTTTTCTTTTTCATTCCACACATCCTGTGTACAAGCTGTTGCCGAGGGGAAAAAAAAAACAGAAATTTCTCTCCACAATGAAATATCTGATGCTCTATCGGTTCTCAGGGCTGTGCTTTACTCTTTTTCCTCTCCTGCTTTAGGATTTTCAGCTGAGTAAGCTGCGAACTATGAATCAGAAATCAGAATTGCTCAAGTAAATTTTTGTGCGGGCACCAAAAGCCCAAAACCATGAGCAAAGAAAGTCCACCTTATCCAAATAAATCAGGGTCTGGGAAAGAGCTTATTTGAACTTCTCTTTTCTTTTCAAGGACTGGAGAAGTGGGCCTTGAAAATTCAAGCGCTTGTATAATGTTTCCTGACTTTCTTCTATCTTTTTATTAAAAAATAACAATAATGGAAAAGAAAAAAGTTTCCTGGTCCAAGAGAGAAGATACGGAGCAAAAAAAATTGAAAATGATTGATAGGGTTTTGTCAGAGCACGGACACAAACGTGAAGAATTGAAACAGCCTGAAGAAAAATTAGCTAAAACTGCAAATAAAAGGTTATATGCGGGTCCTTCTCATGATTTATTGATCCGGAAAAACAACAATCGCTTATGTACTTAAGAGGGTTTTTCCCTGAAATGTTAGGTGGAAAAATCTAGACTGTCACGAGTTTTTTGAAAAAAACAGAAGAAAAGGAAAGAAAATGCGCGCGTTTTTTTTTTTGGGTCATTTTTTAAGGTTACGTGAATTGATTTGCAATCATATATTTTGTATGAAAAATAATGTTGTCAGGCTCTCTCTCCACATGACTTCGTAAAAAGAGACCTACAATTTAATTTTAAAAAACACTTGATCTATGTGTATATAATAATGTTGATTATTATAGAAAAACATCAGACTCTGTTTAAGAGTTACCAATATGTAAAATAGTTTTTTTTTTCTTTTTTTATGAAACACACTGTAATGCCTCAGCTGTTTCAAATTGGCTATTATACCAATAGCATCATTATGTTGTCATAAATCATAACAGCAGAGGAGAATCTGTTTCTAATTCTTTGTAAAAAATTCTCAAAACCAGCCAAACAAAAATGTGAAACATAAAAGTGTTGTTTTAATACAATTGCAAACATGACAAGCGCCTTGATACCCGGCGAGCATGGGTGTTGATATTGTGGGAGCTAATCAAACTTGAATTATTATGTCATGTGTGAACCAATAAAACATTAACACCCAAAAAAAAAGCTCAGGCGTTGACCGGTCAAAGGGACATTAAAAGCTGCATTTGATTTTTAACACGTAAAGTAGATGGGTTTGAACGGGACATGCATTGACGGATATTTTATTCCTTCTTTGACTGAAACTGCTCTTTCTCTCTCTGTCGGAATCCGAACTCTGAACACCCAACAGAAACAGACAACCAGAAAGCCAAGCCCACCCATGGCCACTCCACAAATAGACAAATTTGCCAACCGAATCATTCACTTGTTGAAGTTGATATTCATCCAAAAAGAATTGAAATTACTAACAGTTCAGTTATCTGAAATATGCACTAATTAAGAAGCTGCAGAAGATGATGATGATGAGGATGAAGAAGAAGAAGACGACTCGAATTTGTAGTATTTATCGACGGCGAGAGATACATCCCAAGTGCAACTGAGACCTTTAGGGATAATCACGAGGTCTCCGGCACCGAACTCCACAAACTCCGATGAACCTTTTGGGTAAGCCTTGACCTTCCCTTTCAGCAGATAGCAGGTTTCTTCTGCATCAAACTTCAACTGGTACTTCCCTGGTGAACAACCCCATCTTCTTCCCGTAACCCCCAAACGAAACCCGACAAAATACACAGAGACACATAAATATCAGAGTTGTGTTGCGTATATGTTATGAATTTGATGCAGAACTTAACTCTGAGAGAGAGAGAGAGAGAGCAAGGGGCATACATACTTGGGCCAGCAGGTGACGTTTAGACTGGCAAGGCGTGACTGAGGAGGATTTCTCTCGACGATGATTTTAGGGTTAGAATTGGAATCTCCGGCCATGGAATATAATGGAGGGACTCTTAGAGAGAGGCTGATGAAAAGTAGAATCACTGAGATTTTTGGAGATTAAAAAGAAGGAATCTTTTTGCAGAGTTAGAAGACGATAAGGAGGGCTTGAAAGTTGAAATGCTTGTTTGTTACACACACACACACACACGCAATATAAGAATCTGCCCATCACATCAAGCAATTGCCGTAGCATCACCACCCACAGTTGTCTGGAAGAGGACTCTCCTTTTCTCTCTCTTCTTTTTTCTCTTTTTTTTTCATCTCCGCTCTTTATGTTATTTTATTAAATATTTTTTTTAAAAAATAAAATTAATGAATGGTGAAGAGAGGAGAAGCGCAGAAGAAAGAGAGAAAAAAAAAGAGAGTCCCTCTTCCCAATTGCCTCCGTTTGTTGACTGTAATAAATCAGAACCCATCAAGAGGAATAATATTATTATCAATTTAAAATTACTATGATTAGTTTGAGCTTTTAGATATACAGCTTAATATAAATAAAAATTTATATGGAGCAACATTATTCGAAAGTTAAAATAACGATTTTTTTTTGCTTTGAACAGTTTTTTTCCAACTATTTTTAAATATATTTATTGACCTCTTTACAACTTCATTTAATTTCTTCAATTGTGCCTTGATAAAGTTTAAATCCAAACAAGTCAATAATATCAAATAGGAAATGGTCTTTGCGTGTGTGAGAGAGAGATGTTTGATGAATTTATGTACAATATTTTTCAAATTTTAAAAGTAAATACTAATAAAAAAGAAAAGAGGAGACAGGATAAAGATGAGTAAAGTTGCATCAATACACTTGAAACCGAAGGGCGACAAGGAGGTAACAATATTTTTTACATATTTATCATTAAATTGTTTATTGAAAAGACAATAAATTTATTTTTTAATAATCATATAATAAGTATGCACTTTTATAAATAGTATTAATTTAAATCAAATTATTTTTATTTGATTTATAAAATCTTACATCAAAAAATCAATCAAGGAAAATTTCTTCTAAAACAATTGAAAAGGAAATTTTATATTGATTCAAGTTATAATTAAATAAAAATTGAAACCAACCCATGGACAAGAACTAGACCAAAAAAACTATAGACTACAAACATTCATTTGTGTCTATGTAACTTTTTTTTTCATATTCTCTCCGTTTAAAAATATAAATATTTTTAAAAAAATTAAATGTTCAAACATGTAAGGCATTTTTAACCTTTTGAGGTGTAATCATTATCTTTTTTCTAAAGGTACCCTTATTAATAATTACTTTATATTTATTGTAGGGTGTTTAATAGAGATGAATATAAAAAAATAAAATTAATTAAAAAGTAAATAAATACTTTATTAAATATAAAATTTAATTAAAAATATTTTATATTTTTAAATAGAAAGAATATAACACAAGAAATAGGCTTCACCATTATAGAGGTTATCTACTACAATGTACTTAGTGCAAACAGTTAGACCTAGTGGCGTAGCCACATTTGGGTGAGGGGAGACAAATGTACTCCCCTCATTAAAAAAAAAACAAAAAATACAAGTATAGTATGTAAATTTTACAATGTTGCACCTTTTACTTTCAATATTTTGCATCCTATGAACTAAATAAAAAATGTGTAGGCTTAAAAACTTACTAAATATATAATATTTTAATAATCAAGATAAAATATGAAGAGCATATTAACATAAAAGATCATATTAACATATTCATTATAATTTTTTTAAAAATAAAAATAATTATCAATTTACTTATATTTTTACAATCTAGTCCTAGTGTAATTATTTTTATTTATTTAAATTATTATTTTAAAAATTATTAATTTTTAAATTAAATTATTTTGCACCCCTTACTCTGAATCCTAATTCTGCCACTGGATAGATATCTTTTAATTAAATTGTGTTTAAGTGATAAGAGGCTCTACCGCTAACTCTAGTTCTAATTGGTGGCGTAGCGTTGTTGTGCACGTCTTGCTTTCAGCCTTTCAGGCCTCTTTCTTTTGCATGGCCCAAAAATGTAAAAGGTCCATGGTCCATCCATCCATTCGCACGCACAGATTAGAAGGAATTATTTGTCAGGATTTTTAATGTAATTAACAAAAGATCTCATCGGAATAAAAGTCAGTCTAACTATTTTTAAATTATTTTTTATTAAATAACCATTTTTAATTGTCTCATGATTTTGACAAAAAATAAATAACGATGAATCATTTACACATTTACGATCCTTCACCATTTAATTGTTTGAAAATGCTGGCTTACAAAATTGTTTGAAAATATTAAGAAAAGCGCAAGTCATACACACAACTTTCTGGGGGAAAAATTTATACACATGTATTAGTGTACAAATGAAAAAGATGATTTAATGCTTATCCTTTTATGGAGATCATATTCATTCCCCACGTGCAACTTCGTATTTTCATGTAGTTTGATGAGTCATTTATTCACAAGTAATAAATAGTACATCAAGATGAAACATGCCTTGTTAAAAAAGATTGATTACATGAATAACATTACACTAATGTACTTTATTAATAACCAACTATTCAAATAAAACATTCACCTTCACTGAAAAAATTGTGCACCAAAAGGGTTCAATTTAATAACTTCTTCAAGTATTCTTACTAGTTTTCCTCTTTCTCTTCACTAGACTTAAGTCCATCTCATCAATCTTCCTCACCACCAAAACCTCAATCAAATTTCTTTGCACATATCTAAATTACCTTGAATAATTTCCTACCATCTTCTCTTGCATAGATGACACCCTCACATCTTATATATGATCATTCCAAATCTTTTCTTTTCTCGTAACATCATTTCTGCTTTTCCAAATTTTTGTTCATATTGTCTATTCACTGTTTATCATTCACTACCATATAACACTATCCATGGTATCGCTCCATCACCAATAAATATATTGATGTGCAATGTAGAAGATTAATTTAAACAAGACTCCTACGGTTACATTTTCGTGGACTTGAGCATCACACTGGTTAATCCATCCACCAAGCTGAAGTAAAACTAAAAAAAGGTCATGCTAGCGTGTTTACATCGAATCTAACAACGGGGATCAAAGCCTAACGTGGTTGAAATTTGAGGACTGTACAATTAGGACATCATCTCAGACCACGGAGTTTTGAAATGGGTTTCTCAGTTATGCATGAGTCAGACCATTCCAGGACGCATCTAAATCAAAATCACAGAATAACGCTCCCATATCAACCGGATTAGGATCAGGCGATGAAATATTCAGTTCAGAAGGCAAAGCACCATCTTTTTCCATGAGCCAGTCCTCAAAAACAGCAAGTGAACTGTTAGTGCTTCCAGCAAACAGGGGACCAGAGTTGTTCATATTGGGTGGTTGGTTAATAGACCCTGTAGTTGGTGGCTGAGAATTTTCCATCTGAGGTTCAATGCTTTGGCTGGAATTCTCATTCAACACCAAATCAGCAAATGAATAAGCAACATCTCCAGCAGGTTCTTGTTGACAGGAATCTTGATTCAAACTTTCCCATTGGGTGATATCACCACCGGCATTTTCCATTTGGCCTCCAATTTGATGCCCATTCCCATGCAGATCGCTACTCAGGCAAGCGACATCTTTTGAAGGAGCATCGTTAACTTGAATGCAAGATTGATAAAAACTCTGGCTATTTTCCAAACAGGATGGCGGAGTGTATGCTTTGATCTCAGAAACAACAGTATTTTCACCATTAAAGTTTAAGCCAGGCCATGAAGAGCTCGTATGGGGGAATGATGACAAGTTTGCTGGGAGCCAACCGTTATTCCACCTATTGCGAGTTCTGTCATTTGATAAGCCTGGAGAATCATAATATTTGTTACACCGCACTGCTGGGTTGACATAATTATTACAGCCAGATGAATCATGAGTAGAATGGTTCGCAGTCAGGGTTCCCCCAGCATTCCCTGGCCCGTTAGAAATTATAGCACGACGAGCATACTGATGGCATAAACTATTTGAACCTCGCCGTCGATCCCTTTGGAATGGATTGTTACGTACACCCAACCCAGGCCTAGAAGCAAAGCCAGGTGGGTATCTGTTCCTGATGAAAGTAGATGCTTGCTCTTGACATCTACCATGGTTGGTGCCATTGGGAACTGTAAAGTTAGTTGTTGAGGAGCACATGGGGATGGTATTTGCCCTGGAGACCTGATTCTGGATGGTGGAATTCAGTGAGGAGGAGCAAGCACGCATTATAGGGGGCAAATGGTCATGATTTTGTGGGATAGGACTGGTTAAGGAGCGAGTATGCAACGCAGTCGATCTGGACGCCTGAATCTGTGAAATGGAATTTGTGGACAATTGACTAATGCCAAGTGGCAGAACTTGGTTTTGTTGGGAATGTTCCACAGGGAGTGAATTACCATAACTAGTTGAAACTGGTAACGGAGCACTCTTCTTCAGCTTGAAATTTTTCCTCTGAATTTTCCACATCTCAACCTTTTCGGTAGCATGACAATGATCAGTACTGGAAAAGCCAACACCCCACTTTGGACAAGGGGCTGGCAAGTCACAGACATAACAGTGGCACTGCATGTCAACAAAGATAAAATCAGAGTGACAGAAGGATAATAGCATAGCAGTGAAATAGCAAAGAAAAAATATGTTGCTCAGTTAAAGCATATGTGCTAAATTTACACAGCCTGTAAATGTGATCTCTACCTTTTCACAGTGCCTCTCATGGGGGGTGGAAGAGAAAGGAAATGTTGCACAGTGATGCCGGGGATGAGGATAGTCCCTACATGCAATCTGCAAGGAAAAAGAAGAAAAAGGGGTTAAAAAAACATTTAACCTACGGATCAGAAATACTTCCACGCACAGCAAAGAAAAGTATGTGACTCAGGAGTGAACAAATGAACGCACAAAAAAGCAAAGGATTTTTTTTTTTTTTTAAATCTGGATGTGTAAGAAATGAGCTGATTAGGCAGAACTGAAACAGACTCCTCACATAAAAATAAAGGCCCGCGTTCATCAAAGGGTAAGAGTTTGTATACTCAAGCATCTGAGAAGTGTCTTTTTTCTTTTTCTTTTTTTTTTTGGGGGGGGGGGTTAGGTGTGATAAATAATTGTGAAGCTACACAGTACGATCTGCTTGGGTTATGATTTCTTCCCTATACTCTGGACCGAGTAAACAACAATTACCCATACCCATACCTTCTAGATCTCAATCAGGATTTCTGGTCCTATAATCAATCTTTGATTGAGTCCAGTCAAAAAGTTCTTTCTTAATTTTTCCCCAAATGAAGAAGCCAAGATGGCTATCCCAGGGTCAAAGTCCTCTGCCATCACTAACTTGCTTCAGCCTCCTCAATTTCTTCACGTGGTAATTTCATGTCCTGCGAGAATTTGACAAGAGGCTAAACCTCACTATGCCGTACCATTAGGCTATTCGAATATTGAGGTTTGAACTTGAGTAGATAATATGATGGATTGGCAAAGAGAAAGTTCTCTCTTCAGGACCATGAACCATGAACCTGCTTTTCTAATGCAGTCATTCAATCAGAAAGAAAGCTACTTCCACTACTTCGTTGGCCCAAAGCTGGACAGCATCTATATCTATCTATCCTATATATACTATAAATTCTATGCAAAGCTATTTATAGGGTGTAAACAGTATATCTCACTTCAAAATGTATGTAAAATGCCGGCCCACAATCTAGTTCTATTCAATTTAAAAAGAAAAGCTACTTCCACAGCTTTGGTGGCCCAAAGCTGGACAAAGGTAAAATGAAGAAAAAATGCTGCAAAAAATGATAAAACCCGAAGAAAACATGCAACAGGCTGCAATGGAAAAGAAGGGTCAATTCTTCACCATTCCTGAAAATGAAAATGCTGCTAGACATGCATGAGGAAGGCTTTAAAAATAACCCGTGTAAAGTCAAACGCAAAAGAAAGACAGAAAAGCATCAAATTATATAGGTAACAAAAATATATTGCCGTGAAAGATAATTATTAAATAACCTAGGCTTTGCCATTCAAGGTAACCATACCATTAAAACCATTTCAGCTTTGTTTTATTGCGCCTGTTGTTTCCTATAAAATTCAAACATCATAATGTATTCAGCCAAAGTTTACAAGAGTTAAGAATAACCACCACAACCTGGAAAAACAACAGGTTAGGACATCGTTCTCTGTCTTCAACATCTATTAAGCATTGAAGTTCCCCAAAGCTACTTTATTTACACAATGCACAATGAGCAGGTAACTTGGTTCATGGATCTCATTCCTTTCATACCAGGTAGAGATGGGGTAAAGATTGGCAATAAATTCCCCCTATTCTGTGCCATGCACAACAAAAAGGTCTATATGGCAAAAGTATTAAAAAAAGACGCCTAGTAAAGAAATTCACAAAGCCAGCACCGCAATAAATTTGAAGACATACCTGACCCTTCTCGCCCACAACGATCAACTCGTCCGACTCAGCATCCGACTTGTTCACCGATGTGATTCCGTTCTCAGGATCACCATCCAGAACGACGCAGTCATCATCCAACTCTTTCAGTAACGGCCTCAAGGACTTTGACTTCGGTTCCGGTTTTTGCTCATGGACTACGATAACATCGTCCGAATCGTCCGATTCTTTGTCAGAGACGCCCAGAAACTCCTTAATCCAATCATAGTCACCGCTTTTGAATCCCTCATCCAAACCAAGTTCTTCATCGGAGCTTATATCCAATACATCGGGCATGGATTCCATAGAAAATGAAACAAAATAATTACGCTTCACCAGAAACCATTAAAAAAAATCAAAATTCTCGTACAGCGTCGTTCGGGGTTAGTCTACCGTCTCCCAGAAAATTCCACAGCGCAGATATAGAAACAAATTCACAATCATATCCCAATCCACGCTTTGAAATAAAAGCAAGATGATATAAACATCATGGTATCTGGAAAACCCTTCCAGATTATCCAGGGATTCCCCAAAATAAACTTTTGCGCCGGATAGATATCAAGAACTAGAAATTCAAGAAATCAATGGTTCCGAATGAACTCTTGAGGCAGCTAGAGCATAAAAATTGAGGGGCTCAAACCACAACTAGTGTAAATTTAAGCAAGATTTAGCATTGCGGTTTGCAGGGCCTCGGGAGGTTAGGAGGGCGAGAAAAAACGCATGCTAGAAAGGGGTTGTAGAGGGGGGAGAGAGAACAACACTAGACTAGACTGACTGGGGGAGAATGAAGGAAGGAATTAATAGAAAATAAAAAATATTGGAAAACGAAAATAGCAAAAGATACTGAAGGTATTTCAGGCTTTATAGGAGGCCTGAATTGGTAATTTATTGTTTCCTGATAAAATGAGGGGAAAACGGCATTACGCCTGCGGAAAATTTGAAGCAGAGTGTTATTAAGCTATGGGATTCACGCTCGTGAGCGATTACGTCAGTTTCGAAGACAATCCATGGCTATTTGAATATCTCATTACATTTTCCCTCTTAAATTTCATCTATATAATATTATGTAAATTATGTAAATACCGTCGGGTAGCTACTGTATATCTACAGTGCCCACCCGACTTTTTAAAAAAATTTGTTGTTAGCTTTTCTTTTTTAATTTGTTTTTGTTACGGATGGGTACTGTATATCGGTACCCATCCACGGTACCCATCCGTGAGAGACCGTGACCTCTTTTTCCATCTTTTTTTTAAAAAAATTTCTTTGTTAATTTTTTAATGTTTTGTAATAAATAGAAAAGAAAAAGAATAAAATGGGTCATGTAGTAAAAGAGATATATGTGAGATATATAATTAAAAATGAATAAAATGTTATTTATTTTTATCTTAATTAATGATACTTTTCTTATATTTTTTAAAATCTATATAAATATTTTTTTAGTATGAATAGTTATAAAATACAAATATCCCTTTTATTTTTGACATTTTATTTTAATTCATTTAATCATTACTTGATTGTTAAGTCACATATGTTGAATTAAAATATTTCTATTTAAATATAAATATTGCCTAAAAATCATTTAAATTATCAAAAAAATAATTTTTTATTATCTAATTGTATTTATTTTGTAACTTTTTTAGAAATTAAATATATAAATGGGTGAAAAAATTTAAAGATGTAGTTTATGAACTCAATAAAAAATAAAATAAAATAATTTAGAGTAGTTAAACTAGCCTAAATAAATTTTAAAACTATAAATGTCAAGAGTCAAGTTCGACTATAAATTTTTTATATGTAAGACCTACAAAAAATTAAATTGTTAATATAAAACTTATAATTAAAAAGGAGTAAAATATTTTGATATTTCCTTTGTTTTATCTTAATTAATGATACATGTCTTCTATTTTTCAAAATCTATATGAACATTTTTTTAATGTAGATAGTTATAAAATACAAACCTCCTTTTTATTTTTAAAATTTTATCTTCATTCACCTAACCATTAGTTGACCATTAAGTTATATGCGTTGAACTAAAATACTTGTATTTAAATATAAATATTATCTAAAAATTATTTAAATTATCAAAAAATTAATTTTGTAACTTTTTAAAAAGTTAAATATATAAATTAGCCAAAAAAATTCAAAAGCATAGTTTATGGACTCAATAAAGAGAAAAATAAAAAAATAATTTTTAAAAATTTGGAATAATTAAACCAATCTAAATAAATGTAAAAGCTAGATGTACAACAGCTAAGCTCGACCATAGATTTTTGTATATATTTATATATTTTAAAATTGATATGAATTGAGAATTTAATAGGAATAGTGAGAATGCGAGATTTTAATAAACTTTATTTTCTTTAAAGTTAAAGTAGTATGATTTAAAGAAGTAGCGTGTGAAACTAGACCTAAAAAATGTGAGTGGGGGCATATAATTATAAATTTTAAAAATTTAAATATAGTGTAAGATATAATAGTATTTTTATATTTTAAAAGATCATGATAAAAATAATAGGTGTTAGATATGTAAAAAAATTTCTTATGATAAAAAGTGGGTAAGGGACCTATAACTTAATTAATAAAATTAAATTAATAATTATTTTTAAAAAATAATTTCTTAAAATTAGTTAATGGAAGATTTTGTTAAAAAAATAAGTAGTATAGTTGTAGGACTGAATAAAAAAAGTAAATGTGTGATTTACCATTAAAAAATGTGGGCGTGGAACCAACATTTATGCAAGTTAAAAATTTAAATAGTGTGTAAAAAATATGAAGATTTTTATATCTTAAGAGATCATGTAAAATTTATGGTAAAAACTGATGGCGAATATAAAATTTTTTAATAAAAATAATAGGTATTTGATATGCAAAGGAATCACCAACGATAAAAAAAAATCACTGTGGGACCTATAATTTATGTAAGATTTATAATAAAAATTATAAATGGATATAAGATTCTTAATAAAAATAATAGGTGCTAGATATGTAATAAAATTTAAATAAACACAAACACAAATTATATTAACTAATTTATCTCTTATTTTATTAATTTTTTATACACATGTGTTTGAAATATTATTTTAATAAACTTACTCTATTTATTTAAAAATATAAGGTATTTTTTAAAGATTATTTCTCAGGGTTTAGATGTTAAAAAGTATACGATATTTTTAGTTTTTAAAATTATAATTATTTTATAGTTAAATACCCAATTAGATAGTAAATGCAAATATATAATATTAATTTAAAAATAAATAACTATTTTATTAGGAGATAAAATTTTATTAAAAATGACCTATATTTTATTCCCTTACATTGCATAGGTTATAAATTTTAAAATAAAATATTCTACTTAAATTTAAAATTTAAAATATAATAATATAATTTTAGATTTTTACTAAATTTTTGATATGGATGGCAAATTAAAAAAATATAAATTACAAGAAAATTTTTTAGATAAATTCATCTTTTGTATAATAATTCCCTTTAACTTTTAAAAACGGAATAATCTAACACTTGATGTTAATAAAAAATAGCTTTGATTATTATTTGATTAAAAATAACCTTAAAAAATTATGATATAATATATTGTTATTTATTTTTATTTTCTAATGATATTGAAATTTTCTTCTTATTTTTTTATTGTCCTCAAATCAAATAAAATGTTAAACTCACATGCATCGTACGGGGTTAAAATCTAGTTTCATTAGCATTTGTAAATTTTAGACTAAATGTTAAATTTCATTTTATCGATAATCAATAATATCATCAATAATCAATAATAATTTACAAAAACTTGTCAATAAAAATAAACAACAAAATAATAGTAATAGCAGCGAGACTGAGGACTGAGGAGGCAAAGAACGAATAAATCATTATTTTCTCTGACAATAATCGTGAAGATATAAAAAATAAAAAAATATAAATTTGATTCCTTACATTTTATTCAAATTTTGTTATAAATCTTTATATTTTTTTAAATTTTTTAAATTCCTATATTTTTATTTTTTAATATTCTAGCTCACTGTAACACCATTCATGGAGAATTTAGAGCACAAAAAAAAAATAAAAGTGTGAGGACTAGAGATTTAAAACACAAAATAAAAAGTATAAAGATATATAACAAAACTCAAACAAAATGTAAGAATTTAAAATTATATTTTTTAAAAAAAATCATTGGGATTTACTGTTTATCTCTCATATTTCGAGTATCTTTGCTGTTATTAACAGGAGATATGTGATTCAACCAACAAATATAGTTATTTATATCCAAATTTATTATCGATATTCATATTGCTAACATTAGATGCAAATATATAAAATAAAATAAAATTCAGTATGCATTCAATTCCTTTACCGTCATTTTTTTACATAAACGACTAGTTTAGTATAAATGAGTCATTTATTATGAGAAATTCTTATATAGACCTAATATATCATGTAATTCATACTCCATCTAATAAAATCATGTCAATTTAATCAAATAAAATATTTTATATCATTATTTTTAATAATTTAATTTTAAAATAAAATGCCTCTTTAATTTTAATATTTTTTCATATAGTATAATCATTAATATCATAATCATTTTATATTTACAGCTATCTAAATGTCATATTATATTAGATGAAACATAGATGACGTGTTGCATGAAAATCATGCAATAATTTCTCTAGTTATTATAGCCAGGTTTATATTTGTATGTATTTTTGAAAAAAAAAATTTAATAAATTAAAAGTTGTTTGAAAAGTAATTCAAACAAGCTTTTATCATTTAAAAATAACTGAAAATTATTCAAAAATTAAATATAAAATTTAGAAAGGAATTCGTATTGACTTCTAGGTCTAGCAAACAAAATTTCAGAACGAGACTTATTAATAAAATAAAAAATATTGTTCAAACAGTTTTTGATTTTCAAAAGGACTTTAAAAACAACTATATTCAAGCATAGCCTTGGTCAAAATAATGAATTGGAGATTCATTAAAATTAAGTGATGAGGCCACTCTTTGGTAAAGGTGCATGCACCCTCTCACTAAAAAAAAAAAAATACAAAATATATAAATTTTATAACTTTGCATACCTTATTCTTGATATTTTGCACCCTCTAAATTAAATAAAAAATATTCACACTCAAAGCCTTATTAAATATATAATATTTTAATGATTTAAGATAAGAAATAAATAGTATATTTACATAAAACAGTATAAAATATTATCAATATACTCATATTATTATAATTTTAATCCTAAGATAATTATTATTTTATTAATTTTTAAATTAAATTATCTTAAACCCTTGACTTTGAGTCTTAGCTCCGCCATTGCTGAAATTAAAGCACTAAAATTTTGTTGAAGTTATATTTAAATATGGCTATTTAGGCCTAAAATAAAGCATTAACTTAACATTGCAAAGGAGGAGGAAAACTAAAACGACTGGCTCAAGCAATAATAAGGCTCAGTTCATTATCAAAAGTAGTCGTGCCGCACACGTTCTTGGCATGACTTTTAAGACTCAGAGTGATTAAGTATGAGAGACCATTGAGGGAATATGAGAGCGTTATCCAACGTGCCATGAATATCGCAAGGCTATATTGAATGATCATGGACATTTTGCATACAGGTTTTGAATTCTTCGGGCATAACAGTTTTAGGCGAACAATTATTAAAAAGTGGTCGCAATCATCACAAAAGGCATCACCATCATCATCAACATCAGAAAACAACCATAGCTTATACCAAATTATCTCGTGCTCTATATTTAGCTTGAGATTTATCTTTAATTCGTAAGTTGTAATCATTGTAACTTT